GATTGAATATAAAAATTTTAAATTTCTTGATCATGTAGTTGGTTTAATTAAAACAACTTTTACACATTCTCCAGCTAGAAAAAGAAGATGGGTTAGTTTTCTTTTTACTAATGGTATTTTAAACCCTTTATTACCTCCTTTACTAGTAAAAACCAGGTGGAATTCATGGTTTAATTTTGTGTTTTGGTACATCCTCAGGAAATACTGGAGACAGTATATCATCAATATCAGATTCACGAATATATGTAAGTACATATGCAGCTGGGAACCACCTCTTATTTCTTCCCCCAAAATTATCATTAAGAACTTCTTTAACAGTTGCTGGTGTAACTTTATCATTAAAAAATTTTGTCCTTTTTACGACAGATCAAAGTATATATTATATATACATTATCGCCTTTGTAGTATTATAAATTTGAAATTTTGATTTACCATTTTCCATTCTTTTTATGCCTTAAATATTGATAGTATAGACCTCCAGATTTATCACCGTCGTGTATAACGACACTGATTTACGAAAAAGATTTCGATGTAAGTAATCATACACACACAATAAAAGAGAAGATTATTACAAACCCGTGAAGTAAATATTTATGCGATTTTGATTTATCCGCATCAAATGATAAATAGTTTTGTAAATCAATCTCCATTGGATATTCATAGAGATCATTTATCTATAGTATTAAGAAATAATAGTTAGACTAACAAAAAATTAAGCCCGGATATTATCGCAGATAATAAGACATACTTTGACAACGGTTTCTCTACTTTCAATATATACCCATCGTCTTAATACTAAATTTAATATTGGTGGAAAACTCTCAAAGGTTATACTTTTCTTGGTATCCTATATAAGTAGATTGAACAAATTTGCATCATACAAGCCATTATGTGAAATAGTTTAATGAAACTTACTTGTAAACCATATCCCGCTATATAATAACTGCTTTCAAAGGACACTTCTTGTACAAAATTATTGAAAGAATCAACTAGATTCTTGCATCCCAATACTTCAAGTGTAAGAGCTATAGTAGTAAAATGAATTAATTCACAAAATTATGATTATTCAATTGTTTTTGAGAATATCTCACACCTACATTCGTATTTTTCAATGCGGGAAAACTGATAATCTATATTAGTGCATTTAATATTATGCTTAATTTTGCCACAAAAAAGTTCAGAAATAACTCCGTCCAGTTTTGTATTCTAAATAAATTAAATAAATTCAATTAATAACTTAATCGTTAAAAATAATTAAAACTTCATCCTATTTAACAATAAAACGAAACATTACATTCATTTTATTTCTGAGATTTCCTATAAACATAAATTTAAAAATATCCAAGAAGTCACGTTGTATAGAACAATCATGTAAATTCCATCCATAAGAGTTTGTTAATTCTACAGTTTCAACTGGATCATTCGAAATTTGCAATTGATAAAAAATCCTTTGTATAGCTAAAGAAACACTTTTGCCCGATTCATCCTCTTCCGTAGGAATTTGATATATTGCCTATAATCAATACCGTTAAACTTGGTGCAAAATAATCTTAAAATATTGTTTTAAAAATCAAATAGAGAATCTAACCTTACGAAAATAATTTATACTATATAACAATTGTAATGAAACGTTCAAAGAGCCTGTTGCGCCCTGATTCTTTAGACCAACATATCCAGTCACCTTTCGCGAATTATAACTATAATTAAAGAGATTCGCAAATTAGTAGGATATAAATCAAGAAACAATTAATGAAAATAATTAATGAAAATAATTAACGAAAATAATCAATGAAAATAAGTAAAGAAATAAGGAGATAGTGTACTTTGTAAAATTATGCCATAGGATACCAGTTGGATCTTTTATGATACGAACACAAGCAGTAATATTACAGGCATTATTCTCGATTAGCGAACGAGTGTGATTAACAAATAAATTACGCTGCTCGCAAAACCGATTAAATCCCCAATATGGTTCTTCAGTAGTAAACCGATATTGAGCATCTATAAGCAAATATTAAATATATGAGCAGCAAGAATCATCAATATATATATATATAACACCGTAATAAAATACGTACGATGAGAAACACATAATGTTGGTTCTTTTGGATTCCATAAGACAAAAGCGAATTGTACACAAGAATACCACTCAGTAGATGCTCCTAGCGGATCATCAAAACCCAAATAAATTGAAACGGAATCCGTATTGATCTTTCCATAAGGATAAAGTAAAATACGCCTGGATTTTTAAAGTTAAAATTAAAGAAACATGAGCATAAATTTAATCAAATTATTATACAGACGCAATTGTACTTACCAGTTACAACCACCAGCTTTGAATTTGGGGCTTCTTACTTCCTTTTCCAAGTCTTTCCAATTTGTGATTTGCCATGTGTAAGATTGGAAATCTTCAATTTCATAACCAAGATTTGGCATTATACTATTTACATCGTCTATAATTATATTAATACGATTTTTATTGTATCCAAAATAAATAAGATAATTATAAATTCTCAAGAACATATATTTATAAAACAATATAAGTAAGCATACATTCTTTTACTTCGAAATGAGCCATTTTGTTATAAATATTTTCGGTGTATGTTAAGTGTGAAAATTTCTGTGGTTGTAAAATATATAGAATTTGTTCTGTTACACGACATAATTTTTATGCACAGGAGTTCGTTAAGTGGGGTAATGTACCCCTGTATTTATAGTACCCTAGTCTTGGCGAAAAAAAAGTGATGGTCATGTGCATGTAGAGACTAGCTGACTAAATGTTTTAACATTACCGTTACTATGTTTTTAGGTTTTATCACGATAAAAATTAAAAGATGCAACTAATATATAGCTGTATATAGTTAAGAAAATATTGATTAAAATTACACGTTAAAAATTACGTTAAAGTTGGACTATAAATTAGATCAAAACAATTTAGCAATTCTACTTTTTCAATACGTCAATATGGATAATAACTTGAGTGCTACTAACGATTAGTGTTGCGCACGGTTAGGGACCTCAGTGCGATGCGAAATAAAATGCAAATTATGCGATGCGATTGGTTCAAATTATGCCCCCGATGCGAATACTCTCAAAATTATGCGAAATAATCATAAATTATGCGTTTTTTTTTTAAAACAACCAATAGTTTTTATTTATTTGTTAAAATTTAAAAAATTTAACATGCCAATCGAATTTTCAG